GTGCCGAAGCTTGCCTGGTGAAAGGCCACCGTCCTGCAGCCTTGCTTGAGTAGCTGCTCGAAAGCGGGCCACTGCCACATACTAGCGGGGCGTTGTCCAGCAAAGGGACCTTTGTGGATAGCCCCCAGGTCCTCCGGCTGCTCGAACGCGAGGAAGCTAGCAGCGCCTTGCGCCACCAAGGTAGCCACGTCCCAAGCGAAGTCGGCGAAGAGGTTGCCCAGTATAGCCCTATCCCGCTCGCGGGCTGTTAGCGTATCCTTGCCGCGCGGATGCTCGTAGCAACGGACCGGTCGGGGCCCGCGGTGGTTAGCAAAGGGTGCCCTCGAAAACGAGGAGCAGGGCGGCGAGAGAAGTATAGCATCGAAACTTTTGGCTTGGATCTTGTCCAGGTAGCTCTGCCGTAGCGCGGACTTGGTGAGGTCCATCTTTGCGCTTCTGCAAATATCCACGCACTCGATTGTAGCGTCCCAACCCCAGGCCGAGGCCGTCTCCTTGACGCAGGTAGCCATGTCCCACGGTCTCTTAGCTCCCGCAAACAAGTAGAGCACACGTAGCACCTTGCCAGGAGGTGGAGCAGGTTGTGGTAGCGGGTCCGCGCGGGACTCGGGTCAGTTAGCGGCCTGCTGCTTGTCGTCCTTCTTGTTCTTTAGCGTGGGACACTGTGTGGCCGGGTGCTTAGCGAAGCAGTGCAGGCACACGTGGGCGAAGTGGCACTTGTCGCCCTTTTTGCAGCCGCCCTTAGCGTTGAAACGGTAGCAGATGGGTTTGCCATCGGGGGTCCGGCTGGACGTGCCTGCTAGCGTGCCGAACTTGGTCGGCTGCTTGTCCTTGCCCTTGCCCAGCTTGCCTTTCCCCTTCTTGGGGTCGCGCTGGTAGGGGTTTAGCGGGGGAGGGGGTACGGAGGGGTTCGGCCGCTTGGCATGTAGCGCGAGGGGCGTGGTGAAGTGCCTCTCCTTGACAGTAGCCTCTTTGTATGCCTTGGCGAGCGCCTCGCCGAAGGGGCGACCATCCGTAGCCATGAGCTTGTAGGCATGCTTGCGGATAGCATGCTCATAGCTGAGGATTAGCGGCCAGGGCGGGATCAGAGATCCTGACTCCTCGCTGGAGCGGAGGCCGTAGCAGTAGTCTCCCAGGAGGTAGTCCTTGTAGCGCTCGAAGACCGCGAAGGTGACATCTGCTAGCTCAGCCCGCCCAGGGTGCTTCAGCTTGATCATGATCAAGGCGTTCTGTAGCACGGTGAGACGGAGTCGTAGCTGTTCCGGACCAGACGGAGCTGCCGTGCGGGAACCCCCCTTTGCAATGGAAAGGGTTCCACTAGCGTTCCAGCGGGGAAGTAGCACGTCGGGATCGACTTCGTCCCGACTGATGACCTCCGTTAGCGGTTCCGCGCGGAACTCCCCGGTCTCTAGCTCGTGCAGCTTCTTCTCGATGTATTCCTTAGCGGGGATGTGCTTATCCTCCAGGTCCCCAAACTGGGTAGCGAAAGCCTGTCGCATAGCGATGTAGTC